TTCTTGCGGATCCAATTCCTTTAAAATCATTGGCCCCAGTCTCTCCTGGCCAGCAGTAGTGCTTTCCGTTCATTATGAAGTGGACACCAGTAGGGTCTCTATGCAAACTGTTATTCCAAAAAAAAAGTATCATTCTAGCTGACAGTGTTAACCCTGGCTTACTTTTTGGAATAGGGCTTACATTAAAAGCACTTTGAAAATTGTGCTACGTATATTAAAACACTTTGAAAATCGGACTACAGCTAAATTTTGAGGACTTTCTGGACTTTGGTCTTGTTCCAGAAGTAATTCAGATTATTGTAAGAACTATCTGCGATTAAAAAAAAAAAATCAGAAATATGTACTGTCTTCAGAGTGATGAACACATGAGTTTCAACAGTAATAAGAAAGTTAATAGCAACAAATTAGGGTATTTTGAGTTTCTTCCTGTGTAATTTATGATTTATGTAGTTTAATTCAAAAGTTCTGTTCTGGGGGATATTTTAAATGGACTATGGTACAAGAATTCATATTCACTGGTTTATTGTTTTTGTGGAGACTTCTGGAATTGAGGGTTAAATAAAGGTTAAACAGGGCTTTTGAGATTTTATCCTGTTTGATTCTCATCCTTGAGGTGTTAACTTCCTTTGAAGTCGGAGTGCGCCTGCCCGAGCGGCAAGGAACAACCATCCTTCTTCTTCGTTTACCGGCTGTGAATTCCGACTGAAATGTCCCGGTTAATCGTCAGCTTGGACTTTTGGCTTTTACCTGGACCTGAGTTTTGCGTGTACAACCGTTTTGCTGTTCCCCGCCTCGCGGGCAGATGTACTCCGACTTCGAGGGAAGACGTCAGGCCTATTTCTGGGATGACTGTGGCCATTGTTTTGTGTGGGTCGAGACGTTGCCTGATTTGTGTGGTGTCCTCTTTGTCGCCTTCTCCGCAGGTGTTGCCCCCAGAGTACCCCTTTGTCGGATTTTGAGCTTACTCGTGTACCGTAGGATCTAGTTTTGTCGGACATTTAAGCTTAGCTAGCCAATGGGCAGTTGCTATCGTGGTGTACCTCAGCGCGGTGACGACACCTAGGGTTAACGAAGGATGTACATGGGTAGAGTTTTGCTGCGAGACACCAACTATAGGAGATGTTACTCGTCTGTGCTGCGGGTAAATCTCTAGGTCAAGGGTTGAGTCTCAGCAGAACAATGTTCTCTTTACTCCACAATCTTTTAACCAAGGGTTGTAATTTTGGTTGTACGTTTGGCAAGCACTTTACTTATGTTCCTAATGAGTTTTGATAAGCTTTTTCACCCATGCGTTTGGGGGAGGGCTGATGAGAGCCACAAGGACGCTACACCTCTGGGGGCCGCCAAACTCTGAGATCCCCTGACAGCTCTGTTAATGCTCATTTGAGACATTATCTGTGGCGCACGACGAGAACGTGCTGCAGGGGTCTTGCGTGAGGTTCCGTAAAACCAGAACCGTGAAGGACTGGCGCCCGAGTAACGTACGGAGTATCTCCTTATACTCATCATGTTGGACTTAACTTTCCCTCACGCCTGTGACATAAATCACCGCGCCACACACATACCCTGGCATAAAGCCAAAAACCAAGCTGCTGGTGCTTACAGCCGGTAATAATAATAATTAAAAAAAAAGCTATTAACATGAATAGTTCGAAGAAGCAAATGGATCTATACTATAGAGTGATGTAGACAGGAGATTTAACCCAGAAGAAAAGCAAGACGAGCATATAATCAGACTGCTACTGGCACCACTGGTATTGGAACTCTGTGCTGGCCACTGAAGATGGGATGGATTGCTTATGGGAATGCTCCGAGTGCTGTAATGTTGGTTCTTAAATCAATTCAACTAAACTCAACCTTTGAGATTTCAATCCTACAGACATAATTCCTGGAGGGGAACAGTGATCACCACCACTACCACCTATTATGGTTGCCTACGCTGTATGATAATGCTTCCCTGATGATCCTGGAATGTATTATGTGGGTTGTTTTAATATGATCAGAATAGACCTTGGGGGACTGTACAGCTAGGATATTTTCTGCGTTTCTATTTTTATGTGACTCAAAAATAACCTTGATCATTTTTTATCTCATTGTAAAATTACCTTGATCTTTAAGGACACATCATGTACAGATTATAAGCATCAAGAAAAATGAGGTATACAGTAAATGTAAGATCATTTCTTATGTACAATAAAAAATACATCAGTAAACTTTTGAGTGTTGTATTGTTATTTATTAGTAATTTTGGCAGTGCAGGTCACATTACAAGAGGGCTTCAAATGAAAACCTTAAAAATGTGATATAAATTACACCAACCATGCCATCCGCTTACAATCTATTGGTATTATTAAAGATGTCAAGAGCGTTAAGCATGAGCATCATATTGCAGACAACCATGGTGGTATGTTTTTATGCTGTCGGTTCAGAATATAGAGTAGGAGGTTTGAAAATGCCATGACTTCTGTGAAAGATGTCTCATGGCCGGGTTGGGCGAGCAGAGGTCATGTTGTAATGAAACTTACTACTCCACTTGTACCCCTGCTGGGGTCTCTATGGTGAAGTGGTTACACCATTTGCCTTGGGATCTTTAGGTTGTGAGTGCATTTTCGGAAACCACTGGGGCTTAATGTAGAGTTAATGAGTTTGTGCTTTTTTTTGTAAGGAAGTAGACTCTCCCACCTTCTGGTGTGCAGTCATAACTTGACTTTTCCCCCTTGAGATGAACGAGCTATCTGCATGTAAATAGTCAGTCTGTAAAATGGATGTGCAAAAACTCAAGCTGATGAACAAGAACAAAGTCTAGAAGTGGACGAATAACCAGAACTTTCCAGTGGAGTTGACAGCTGGTGAAGCTTTCTTCCCGTTTTTTTTTCTTGTCAATGCTCAAGTGTTTGCTATCGAGCTATGGCTGAAAACAAATTGATGGTATAAAAATGTGATTTCCCCAGTGGGTTCTGGGGTTCCCGTCTTATGGAGAAAACAAGGTAAACCAAATGCCCCTTACCGAGCTTGTAATAAAAAAAAAAAAAGGACAAATTAGTTTTGCTATATTCAGATGTGTTTGGCTGGAAGATGTAGATACCACAGCCTAGCTGTAAACCACAACACAATGTGTCAGACAGCTTTGTACAGGCCAAAGAAAAAAGTTATCGTTCATCCACTTCTAAACTTTGATCTTGTTCCAGAACTTGAATTCTGTGTGCACGTCTATTATACAGACTTGCCTTACTTATATGCAGACTGCTGGTTCCTTGCCTCTCAGGCAGATGACTTTGAAGGAAACTGTCCTAACTAGTCAGCTTTTATGGCAAGCTTGTTTGGGGGAAAAGGGGTGGGGGGGGGGGGGGGTGAGTGTGTGTGGGTATTATAAATTTTCCAAAATGGAGCCCCGGAACCCACACATGGAACAGTTATAATGTTTTGAAGAGCCTTATAACAAAATAAGAATACTCGGAATGTTAAAAGTATCTACAACTGGTATCTTATTTCCACACACAATGTGTTTCAAGGAGTCAAGAACCCAGGTACTGAGTTTATTGTGATACAGCCTTCACTGGTTTATTGTTAATAAGATAAATCAATGAACTTTATTCTAATGAAATGGCCAAATAACTTCATCTGCTGTTTCTTGATGAATCTAGTACAAGCTGATCTCACAATATGTCTGACAGTATCATTATTCGCTTATTTTGGAGAGTTAGGTTGGTGGCTTTGCTCAGGCATCTCATCTTGCAAGTAGTGAATTTACATACATCGACTTTAGATACTTATGTTTGGCACTAGTAGCTCATATGAATATCCTGTTTATAATCTTTTTTCCTCCACACTCTGTTATGTCTGATCAATGGTGACAATTGGTATATAAATTGGATGTGTTGCTATGATTGGTGCAGATTATCGCAGCTTTGATGTAACTGCCCTTTCAGGGGTGAATTCATAAAAAGAAGAAACAACAGCTCACAGCAAGATAGCTTGTGATAGATGCCAGACCTTTTGAAACAACTTTCTAACCTAAATTAATTAAATGACTTCATCAATAGAAGAGTCAATCTTCACTCTTTTGCCAGTCATCATATCAAGGCTTACTGTGGTAAACTCTGTGGCATGTGATAAGGTGCTGTCGCAAAGGGACTTGTAGAAGAAAAACACTGCCAGAAGACCAATCATCTCAACCTAGCCACAGAAGTAAGCATGGCCTAAGTAACAGAACTGATGTAAAGAAGCATTATGTTATCCTAGCACCACAGTACGGTTTATAATCCGAAACGAGTGAAGGTAGTAATTTGCTTACAGTGGACTCACAAAAATATTTAATGTTGGCGATGATATTTGATTACACAATCTAAATTACAAAATTAGTTTTTAAAGAAAAATATTTAGATGACAAAAGTTAAAAAATAAAATGAATAAATATCAAAACAGAATGTTGAAAAAAATGCCCTTAAACCTAATATTACCACTTTTCCCTTATCTTTTCTTTGAGTCACCTCAGTGTAATGTTGGGGGTGGATGTAAGGAATATTTGTGTGATCGCTCTAATGTGTGGTGTAAGTTGGTCTTCATTTTTCTAAGGGTGTTCTTGATATTGTCAACCCATATTTTGTATGGTCTTCCTGCTCTGTTCATTATATTTCTTCAAGAGGCTCTATCTGCTGTCAGTACCTACCAGTGCATTCTTGTTACATGACCTGACAAGTGTGATCAAGCTTCATGTTAAGTACTGCTAGGTTTTTTCATGATGGTACATACCAGTACACAGCACTGGCACATATTTTTTGAAAGGCATTCTTTTTGTGTGTAATATGTTTTATATACTATGCGTTGAGTAGAAAAAACATACACAGTATACTACTGGGCATAAAAAACTCATTATGCCACAAAACTGTAAAGATCACTACCCGATAATGAAAGTTATTACAATCACTTCATTATTTTCAATGTTTCATCTTCAGCTGCATTGCACATAACAGCTGTAAGCAAGACGACTTTCTGCATCTTCACGAGACTTGTTCGGACTTCAATGTCTTGCTTTCCTAAAAAGAAATTATATTAAATGTTTAAAGTCAGAAGAATCGACTCCGTTGCAATTTAGTTTTATTCCCTATGCGAAATTAGTGAACCGCCTTAAAACTATAAACGCCAATTAAAACATTAATTCTAGTGAAAAGTAGAGCTGATAGAATATTATCTCATCATCCACTTGTGGGATGCAATTTTTAGCTATTTTGGAAGCCCTACCTTGGCTTTTGCCGGGGGCTCTAAATATGGCCGGGTTTGAAATATGGCCAAACGGCTGAGCGGGGTTTCCGGGACCTCTCCACGGGTGATCCTCATCTGCATGGTGGCACTTTGTGTCACTTGGTGTTTATCGCTTGTGTGTGATGTCCTGGTGGGAGCCAAGGTCATTACTTAAAAATTTTTTTTCTTAAAAACAAGGATGGCTCTGTTTGAACTTTAACCTACAACCACTGGACTCACTGACAAGCGCCTAGTCGTTACACCACAGTAGCTCCCCCACTGAACCCAAGGGACAGGATGAGACTAGGTGTGAAGATGTAAAGTATATAAAAGAGAAAGACCATTTTCAATAGAGTATTTGGGCATATGATGCTTTATATTTGTACAGGCCTATCTGCACTCAATGGCTTACATAGTTGATATCTTGTCAGCTGCTTTCACTTCCCAGAACTTTGTCTTGTATCGATTTTAGGCTAAGTCAACTTGGAAGCCAAGGTCATTGAATGAAATTAATCTGACCTGGTAGAGATTCGAAGACAGACCTTCAGGCAAGGATCTCTAACTGCTATATTACTGCGGCTTCTGGCAGGGAGTTGACTGAAGGTTTAAGCTGCTTTGGGAGATAAAGGGAAGAACAATAAGACAATGGATTCTTCTTCAGCAAAGAGTGTTCGCTATGTGACTTCCAATATGGGTCAAACACAGGATGGTATACTTGAGGTCTTTATCTGTGCCAGATAGTTTGTCTCGTAGGGATGCTCCTGTGGGCCAGATTTCTTTTTTTTGTAAAACATGCTCTAGAGCAGGGCTATTCAACTGGCGGCCCGTGGACCAAATTTGGCCCACAAAGACCTAGCAAGTGGCCCACCAGATCAATGCCAACTGTACCGTATTATCGATCTTTCTATGCTGGAGCTTGGACCTCTGGCCCGTGACAATCCCCATTTTCAACAGTTTGGCCTCCTAGTAAACTTAGTTGAATAGCCCTGCTCTAGAGTTTGCTTTGGTGAGCCACAAGCATATGCAGCAGAGTTAGCAAGACCCATTCCAACATGTAGGTGTGCCCCGAGCAGGTTATAACCCAGGTTCTATGAGGTGTGCAACACCAGCGCCCCTCTTGGCCACCCACACCGACCAAACACAAAACAACATTTAAGGGAATGTAGCAAATACCTGATACTCTGCATCTGTCAGCAATCCTGTGACGGCTACAATTTGATACTGCCTGGACTTGAACCCCGACTGTGTGCGACGGAATATTCTCATGTGTTTCCATGTCAGCTGACCCCTTGCCACAGAAGCCATTTGGTCACTTGGTGTCCCAGGATCGAACAAAAGTAGTTTGGTTGTCCCACGTTCCACCTCCACCCCAATGACTGTGCGACTATGACCTGTCAATCATAAATAACGAGTTGGTGTACAGACCTTACCAAACAGTTCTTCTTCTTCTTCTTCCACCATTTGCCTCAGCGAGTTGTTGGGAGGAGATGTAAGGATCATTTCTGCACTTTTTCCAATGCATTGTACAAGTTGGTGTTCATTTCTGTTAGGTTGCTCCTGATGATGTCGCTCCATGTCTTGCGTGGTCTTCCCCTTGCTCTATGTTCATTATATTTCTTCAGTGCAGCTCTCTGTGGCAGTTGGTAAGAGGGCATTCTCGTCAGGTGGCCAAACCATCTCATTTGTTATTCTTTAATGAACTGTATGACTGGTTTCAGCCCTAGTCTTCTTTTAATTTCTTCATTCCTGATTTGATCTCTTCTTGTCACACCTGCAGCTCTCCTAAGACATCTCATCCCTGTTGTTTCAATCTTCAGCTCATAAGCTGTAGTAAGGGGTCCATGTTTGTCACTGGTATCACAATGTCAGCCCAAAAACAGGCAGTGAAATGGGAAATAGAGAGATTGAGGAAATCCAAGAGAAACCATAAGACATAAACTGATGAAAGAAGCCACAGGTGCTGAGCTGAATTCTACCTGCATTTATGGGCATGGCACATGATGATGATGGCTATTCTCTCTTCTGTTGTTCACCCGCTGAAAACTCTGGCGGAAAGGTCTGGTTGTCTGTTCACTCCCCACAAGGGAATTGACTATTCTAAGGACCAAATTGGAGGGAAAAGTTGACAGGACAAGGTAGACAGCAACCCAAGTGGGAAGATGAGACAAGATCTGGATGAAAAGTCTAAATAAAGAAGATTAAGTGTTTCTACTGGGGGCAAACAATAAAAATAAGATGCAGTCATTGGTCAGTTGTTGGTCGATATTCTATATTCACTGCATATGGGTCACTCCATAACTGTGATGTTCCTGCGGCAGTGGAGATAACACAACATTTTCTTCACTGTTCCATTTGAAAAACTTGTTAGTCATGATAAAATGTTACAAGTTACCTATTAAGTTGGGCCAAATTTAGAAAACAAAAACTCTCATCCTTTTTCTCATTCACCAGCTGCACACTCCGGCGGAAAGTTATGGTTGTTCATCCACTTCTGAACTTTAGTCTTGTTACAGAACTTGAGTTTCATGTGCATATCCATTTCACAGATTTGGCTTATTTGTATGTAGACTGTTGGTTCCTGGCCTCTTAGGCAGACAGACTCTGACTCAGGGGGAAACAGCCCTAATTAGTCACCTTTTACAACATGCTTGTTAAGGTGGAAGTGCGTCTACCCCCCCGCCCCCCACCTTCTCTAAATGGGGCCCTGGATCCCACAAATAGAGATTAAAGCAAATACTGCCACTTCTGGAAATAAAACCCTGACCTCTGTCCTAACAAGCAAATATACTAACTACAATTCCACCACAGCACAAAAAACCTGCTACACACAACAAATATTACATTCACAGTTACCTTGATGTTGTAAGTAAAGAGGTGGTAAAAATTCCTGCTGACGTCTGCAGAAATAGCTCCTGACCCATTCCAAAAGCCGAGGATGTGTCCCGTCTGAAGATGAAGGGGCATGGAAGTCAGCAAGATGGCATCTGAGAAGTTATTGGACAGATAAAGATGTTATCTTTATGAGTACTAAAAGACAGAGACAACAGAAATTACATACATATATTGCCATTTATATCTGCAGGAGTAACAAGAAAGTAAATTTAAAATGGCTTTCCCCGTGTGGGTTCCGGGGCCCTGTTATAGAGAAAACAAGAACAGACCCAATGCCTACCCAAAAGCATGCCATAAAAGTCGACTGTTTGGGAGCTTCCTTCGAAGTCTGAGTGCATCTGCCTGAGAGGCAAGGAACCAACAGTCTGCATACAAATTAGTCAGATCTGTCAAACGAATGCACAAGCAAAACTCAGGTTCTGGAACAGGACTGCAGTCCAGAAGTGGACGAACAACCAGAACTTTCCGCCAGAGTTTACAGCCAGTGAACACGAAGAAGAAGAAGAAAAATGGCTTATTTGTGAGTTAACTGTTGGTTCCTTGCTTCTCAGGTAGATGTATGAACGAACGAACGAACTTTATTTTCAAAGGGTTACAAATTAGGCACGCAGGCCTGTCTTACATTCGGCCCTTCCAAACTTACATCTTTCACACAGCAGTTTTATTTCATCAATAAAGCATGTTATGTTCATGTAATAATATGCATATTATAAATATCAAGTCAGAAAAAAAGGCATGGGCGGTAAAATATGTGCGCACACTCGAGCGCGAACACACACCCACAAACCCATTCACTCACACACACACACACACACACACACACACACATAGGCACCCAATACACATACACATCCACATGCATACAAACATGCACACACACACACACATACATACACATACATGCATACATACTCTGATTTAGATGGAAACGTCGATTCTATTTAAAGCTGGCCAGGCTCTGGTTGAGAACCTGTTTCAAGGATGACCAACGAGTGTACACAAGCCTTGACCAGCATGAGTCTTAGCTCTAGTACACCACCATGTGTTGTTCAGCACCTCTTGCATCCCTTATGGCAAGCTAAACAAATATTGTGTATGAGAAAGGAGTATAATAATATAAAATACATACCTAATACCCAGAGAGGAAAGTGTGGCAACGATCTCTGTGGCCCCAATCCACTTGCTAGTATTGACTAAGTGGCCTCCCAACTGCCTGCAACCAGGAGGATCAAATCCTTTCTTCCACGCCAGCTCAATCATCTGTTGGATTTTGGGAATGGAAGGAATTGAGATGTTTTCACCTGAAAAGTCACCCAAATATGCAGTAACAACACCAGACAACATAACAGAAAATAAGAATGTTTAAAAGTAGTAAAGTGCAACATCTTCTCTCTTGGGTCTCCTGCCTGTTTAAGTTTCCTTTCACCTTTCCTACTGCATGTACAATAGGCGTAAAGGATCCATTTGAACAGGAGGGGTACATTGTACTCATGAAGCTAGACTGCTATTTTATAGACTTATTTCAGACATGAGGGGTGATGTGGTTATCATTACAGTCATCCTTACACTTTACTTCCTAGGAAATTACTGTGTACTCATTTAAGGCAAGTTCGACCTGGAAGCATGGTCAATTCTGAAAAACAAAAATACGCTTTGATGCAGAGGATATATCCTAGAGCTTTGGGCTGGCAGGTGAGCATGTAGCTGCTACACTACCACGGCTTCCCCCTTTGTAGGATACATTCTTTATTTTTCCCTTATGGTGATCATAGAATTAATTTGTACACAATAAGAAATGTCTTTATCTTTGATCAAACTGACCTGTACTTAAGTAAACATCTGGTCGTCTATCAGTAAAGAGCCCTTTTCCATGCATTAATGTGTACTAGTCATAATGTGCAATTTCCACAGGTTTCAAGACCAGACATTTCAGGGGTATTCCGCTTCTTCACTATTCTGAGCCCTTGAGGATCACTGCCACATATATCACCAACCTCCATTCATCTCAATGACTGGCCTTTTCTTTTCAGTTGGTAATGTTTGTAGATCTGCCTGGATATTATCTCTCCACCGTCTTCTTGGTGGGGCTTATGTATGCAAAGTTGTTTTGTTTGCCTCTCTGTTATCTGCCATTATTTCAATATGTCCCAGCTATTTCAGCCCTCATGATTCCTGTGATCAATGGTGATTTAAACAGATTATGAATTTTTTTATCACTTATTGTCTATTCCCAGCTATCTGAATCTTTGATCTTCTGTTTTCAAAAATTTATAAGGCTTCAGCTCTTTCAGTTTCCTATGTGAGTTCCTGACCCAAGTTGGAGGGGGGGGCAGACCCAATACCTTTCTAAAAAGCTTGTATAAGGTGACTAATTAGCAGAGTTTTCCTTGAAGTCAGCAGTGTGCATCTGCCGGAGAGACAAGGAACCAAGAAGTCTGTTTACAGATAAGCCAGATCTGAAAACAGACGCACATGCAAAACTCAACTCCTGGAACAAGACCAAAGTGGACAAACAACAATAACTGTTTACTGTAGTTTTCAGCCAGTGAATGCACAGAAGATCTCTTTTAGTTGTTCTCCAGTTTTCAGAGCCCAATAAGACTAATGGACTCCAGGGATAATCCAGCTAATATTTTGGCTGCCTTTACTTTCAAGAACTTTCTTGCTAGATCTTTTTAGGCTGGTGTAATCTAGGAGCAACAATCACTGCAACACTTTCAGCCTAAGCAACGTCTGGTGTGTGAATGGCTCTACCACTTGAATTCACTCCACAACAAATTATGGACTTATATTTTTATGTTTGGTCAGAACATACTAAAATGAAAAAACTCAGGCCCAACCAAATTGCCACTATCATTGTGTATACTGCCCCTCAAAATGTAATTAATCCATCTCAATATATATTCTTTACATCAGGCATCTCCCATTAAACCTTCTGGTACCAAAATAGTTAACTAACAAAAAATTAGTATTTGGATTTGAACTTATGGCCACTGCGTTCGCCCGCAACTGCTCTTGTCACTTCCCTACCAGGACTGACTTTACTTAAAATATCACCTGCGAACAGTTTCCTAGCATAATCTGGATGCCTTGACAGACACGAAAGCATCATCTGAAAGTTCCTGTAGCCACATCCCCAACCTTTGTCTCCATAGGAGCCAGCGAAGTGGTCCACAGGAGAACACAAATAAGCTGCCTGGCCAGGACGGGCTTGATTTCTGTATAAGTACTCCAGTTTTTCTATGACGCCTAGAAAAGACACATTGTAAAACAAGTTTTTCAGTGAGGATGATGAAGATACATTTTAAAACAAGTTAGCTGACTGTTGTTCTCAAATTGATTGACCCAAATAGTCACATTCTGGATGCTAGTCTGGAGACAAATCTCAGAAAATCTTTTCAATATACTTAGGACTTCCATTTTCAAAATGGGGGATAGCAGCGGTGTTTGTTTTCACTGGCTGTCAATTCTCTCAGATTGTTATGTTTCCTAATCATGGACTGCTATTTTGTGTGCATTTCCAAAGCAGGATACTATGTGTTTTTCGTGGGAGCAGCGTGTATTGTGGTTGTGCTCTGTCGGGGCGGGATAATGACCGATAGTTTTGGCAGCCTCGACCACGCTTCCTTCGCAATGTTTTGATCACAGCAGCCCACTCGGGGAGGTAGAATCTCTTCAGCAGGGGACTGCAACTGTCTAGAGAACAAACTCAATAAAAGCTGTCCCCAAAAACGGAATGTGTCAACCACGTTTTTGGTAGGGAGGAATCGACACATACGGTTAATATCCTTAAAGTTATAATTATGGCAGATAACACAAGCAAAAATGGCTACGTGTTAGAGGCATGTGTCTCTAAACTCCTGAACTGTGGTCTTATTCCAGGACTTGAGTGCATGCACATCCTCTCTGTGTGGGTTCCGGGGCCCCATTGTGGGGGAAAACAAGAATAGACTCACTGCCTACAAAAAAGCATGTCTTAAGAGTCGACTAATTGGGAGCTTCCTTCGAAGTCGGAGTGCATTTGCCTGAGAGGCAAGGAACCAGCAGTCTGCACACAAATGAGTCAGATCTGTCAAATGGATGCACATGCAAAACTCAGGATCTGGATTTGGACTGCAGTCCAGAAGTGGACAAACAACCAGAACTTTCCGCCGGAGTTTACAGCTGGTGAACGCGAAGAAGAAGAAGAAGCATGCACATCCAGTTTACAGATCTGGCTTATTTGTATTCAGACTGCCTGTTCCTTGCCTCTCAGGTATATGCACTCAGATTTCAAAGCAAATATCCCTAATGAGTTGCCTCCTATGACATGCTTGTCGGGGTGCGGAGAGCAGTAAAACTATTCTTTGTTATCCAAACTGAAGCCCCAGAACCCAGTGGTGAGGATTGCATATCTCTGAGAGGTCAAGTCAAATCCTGGAACTGACCAAAGTCAAGAAATGGCCAAACAAACAGGAATTTCCACCGGAGTTTTTGTTAAGTGATTGCGAAAAAATAAAAAATAAGTAAAGTTAGAGACAAAGATTATTAATATGGGGGTAGACATTAAAGAAGCTTAGAAAAGGATACAATCACTTGGCCCAAAATTTTAAGGCCTATGCTCCATTGGGAGATAATAACAGAAGAAGAAACGAAAAAGTAAAATATGATTAAACAGTTTGATTACCCTGCGTTCTTGTGCTTCCATTATCCACACCCAAACACTCAGTTTCAGCCATCAAAAGCTTTTGCTCATGGAAATCAGTCACTGTCATTTTGCCTCCAACTACTGCCCTCTCCAAATTTTGCTCATACTGTTGCTTGTAGCTGATGCTTCCTTTGCCATTTGACGACTTCCAGTTTCCTTGACTGGTTGATGGAACACTTTGATTGCTGGACGACTTTGTTTGTATTTCCTGGCAAAATAAAAGTTGTTGATTAAAATGACTTTGGATTCTTTGTTACTGCTGTGTTTCTTGTTTTTCCTGACAAACCAAAAAAATGCAGACACCCCAAAACAAGACTTTGACGACTTATTTATGTGTTTTTCTCAGCAAAAGAGCATTCTTCTTAAATGCTTTCATTCCCCAACAGATCACAGACCCTAAATTAACTTGCCCTAACCCTCTCAACTATGTGAGAATCTTACAAAATAACATTTTTTTTTCTTAAAATTTATATATTTTTTTTAAAAAAAATCCCCATCCCCACAATTCTCTGAAACTACACTAAAAAACATCAAGTAAAAAAGAAAATGCAGAAGAAATCTGGAGTCTTGGACAGTTTTTATAAATATTCGGGGTGTCAAAGCCCTGGATCATAGAGCAGACAGGTAGCGTGCGTGAAGTAACCTGCCTCTTTGTTTTCATCACTTCACTATATAAATTAATAATGGTTTTTTAGATTTGCTATGTTTTAAAATTGGGAAAAGGTTTTTTTTTGGATGGGAAGTAATCACTAAATAGAGCATAGAATTAATTGATTTCCTTCTCTTTAATCATTTAAAAGTGGGTGTGGTCACTTTACCAAAAGGAGCAATGTGATGAAATTTTAATGTTATACGACCTCACAATTCTTCAAAATAATATCTACACATATTTTGGGAAAATACGATCATACCCTCCATATTACACATCAGCTCCAAAACTGTTATACAGGTGTAGTGATCCCCACCCAAATACAGCATGCCATTAAAAAAAAAAAAAAACTAGATTATGACCCAAACAGCGTGATAAGGTTAAGGACTTTCAGTTTTTGTGACTAAAGCTTTGTTTTTACAGGAAGGGAGCCCAGTATGTGCAAAACCCTACCCGTAGGAGCCTCTTACAATGTACCTAGTAGGGTGCAGTGTTTATAGTCTGTTTCCTCTAAAAGTCTCAGGAAACAGAAAAACTAACTATGGCTTCAACACTAACAGTTGCAAAATGAACTGCTACAATGCCACTTGAATTGGTTGTTGGCTGCTGAAAATAGGAACAGAGAGATTATGGGAATGTACCAAGTGCTGTGGTGTTGGTCCTCAACTCAGGTCATCCTCCCATACACAGTGTGAGAACTGACTAAGGTGAGATACAGTGAGGATGCTGGATAGTTTGGTATGATCCAGGCTAGATTATGACCCTTTGATGCCTTGAGCCAGCGGTTCTCAAACATGTAGGTCGAATTATCATTTCACTGTGGTCAACTAAGACCATCAAGAAAACACATATTCACTGAAGTTATGAAGTAGCAATGAAAATTATTTTATGGCTGGGGGGTCATCACAACATACGGAAATGTATTAAAGGGTCATGGCATTAGGAAGGTTGAGAACCACTGCCTTAAGCACTTGCAAGATTTTGGTGCCCCCTCCCAAAGCTGTCTTAACAGCATTATGAGCCCCCTGTGCAAATCAATGACCACTTCCAGGAATGTAAATGGTCACTTGATGTGCAGACTAGCAAAAGGCTCCTATGCTTGTGGGGGCCCTGAGCGAGTTCCAGTGGAACCCATGTGTTATGGCAGCACTGGTGCCCCCTATATATGTATATATATATGTGTGTGTGTGATTCAAAACATAAACAACAATAAACCATTAATTAAAATTGTATTTATTGAAATCAAACAAAACTTAACAGTCAGATAAAAAAATAATGTACATTTTTGTTTTCTTCTACTTTTTTTTAAATATTTGACAAGCTGTCTCCTACTTTTTTTTTTTAATTGCAAAATCTTTGCTTTGATTCTTAAATCTAATCTTAAAGTAATAAATCTGTGTACACACTCAATAGAGATAAGGCTACCTTATTGCATAGTTATTCTGTTGGGATTTTTAAGCCTACTTCAACTGAGACAAATAATGCTCAGCTCCAAGGCTACTGATGAAGTCTGTGATGCCCCCTACCTTTGTGATGCCCTAAGCACATGCTTAGTGTGCCAATAGTTAATCCTGCCCTGGGTTTGAAAGTATGGAAGAACTTTTGTACTAGAAGAGATCTGCACTGCCCGAGACAGAAGTTCGATAGGATAATTACAGCAGAGACTAAAATAAAAAGAAAGAGGCTGCTAAAGGTCTCAATGAGGTAAAAATTAATTACCTGTAAGCTCAATGAGGTACAAGTTAATTATCTGTATGCTCAATGAGGTACAAGTTAATTACCTGTATGCTCAATGAGGTACAAGTTAATTACCTGTAAGCTCAATGAGGTACAAGTTAATTACCTGTAAGCTCAATGAGGTACAATTAATTACCTGTATGCTCAATGAGGTAAAAATTAATTACCTGTATGCTCAATGAGATACAAGTTAATTACCTGTATGCTCAATGAGGTACAATTTAATTACTTGTATGCTCAATGAGATACAAGTTAATTACCTGTATGCTCAATGAGATACAAGTTAATTACCTGAATGCTCAATGAGGTACAAGTTAATTACCTGAATGCTCAATGAGGTACAAGTTAATTACCTGTATGCTCAATGAGGTACAAGTTAATTACCTCAATGCTCTGTGTGACCTTCTGTTTTGGTGGTACCTTTTCCACAGGTATATTTTCCTGCATGGCCCCTTGTTTGCTGCCTAATTCATTGTCAAATCCTGGTAAAGAATTAATTATACATAGTAATGTAGGTTAGTTACATATCCTTTACAGGATGTTGCAGAGCCAACCCCAACAATTTTTTTGGCTGTTGTGGTTTTTCTAGGCAAGTTCATGTCCAGTAGTCTGCCATTGCTTTCTGGACGGTGAGCTTCTCGATACCACTGTCGAAACCAACGCAAGGCCCGCAGGTGGGATTGAACCCGGCACACTGGCATTACAAAGCAGGTTCGCAACTCCTAAGACACAGTCGCCGACATAGTAAGTAAGCAGAGTAAATTAAAAGACCCTTTTTAATTTGATGCCAGGTTCATATTTCATCGGCACTTGATGGGTCCACATCATTTTTGCTGCCCTTTCTTCTCAGGACTTTGGTAAAAAAAAAAAAAAAAAAGTAAAGAGTAAAGGACCCTTTTTCCACGCCTTTAGGCGTATAGGTCATATAGGGCTAGACCTATATTTTTATAGACCAATCGGCACAAGATGGGTGATGTGGTCAGCATCACGCCGGCCACCTTTACTTTCCCGGGACTGCACCCGGTACCCACTCAAGGCTGGGTCGACCTGGGAGCCAAGGTCATTTTTGAAATAAGTCCGGCTCCGCCAGGGAGCGAACCCACGACCTTCCGATCCGCGGCGAGCGTCTAGCCGCTCGGCCACGGCGACTCCCTCTCAGGACTTTAGCTGGTAGCAATTTTAGACTGCGTCAGTCTGAGAGCAATGGTCATTCAGAAAAAAACTGGCGGGGTATCTATGTGTTATGCCACCTCTGCTCCAAAATAAAAACAAATCCTGAGTTATTATTTAGTTTTTAATGAAGGTTTTATACTGTGTGAATGCTTGGTTCACCAGTAATAGTTGAATGGGACAGCGACATCTTCCATACCCTACTACAGCTTTAATAAACATGTCAGAATATAATTGAAAAAAAAAAAAAAAAACCTGAGATGTTAACATAATTAAATAATGATCAGTCATAAATAATAATTCTTAATATATAATTGAAAAAAATTGTCACAATGAGAGGGAAAAGTTTTGATTATGTGTTGAAAGACAGATGCTTGCTGTTGGAATTTATTTCATCAGAGAAATTTTAGCTGGTGAAATACAGTTCCCCCTCAACTTGCACTTACATTTGTATGGATTCTGGCAATGAAATTCATCATGTAGCAGGTCCTTTGCAGAACGTCACTCTCATCACCGTCTGCCAAAATGAAACTTGGTCTCTCGCCGGCTCTCCCGCTTCATGTACTTTCATGTTCAAGGAGTCACTTATATCCTGTGCCCATCTTCGTGTTGGTCGGCCCATGCCCCTCCTTCGTGGTACTATGCCTTCTGCTATTATTTTCTTTGCAATCTACCATGACGCTTAATGTGACCAAAATATTTTAGCTTCCAAGACAAGATGCTGTTTACTGTTAATGAAGTTGGTAAGGTGAATTACACTTATTTTTTTTTAAAGTGTATTACTTTGGATCAACTGAGTTAAGAGCCAGCGTAACAGTACTTGGGACTTTCCTATATGTGCTATGTCCTCATCATCAGCAGCCAGCGAAGAGTTCCAATGCAGTCAGCACCAGTAGCAGTTTGATTACAAGTACGTCTTCACTTTCCTCCGAGTGTAGTATGCTGACCAGATTATCTGGTCACTCACCAATGCACCATTCTCTCCCCACAATATTGATCTATTCTCACTTGCTCCCAAAGGTCCTTGACCACATCTAGCGGGACATGCATAAATTCATCACTAACAGATGTGGCACTAGCCAATATGTCTGCCTGCTCATTTCCCAATACACATTCATACCCAGAGAAAAGATCCAAAGGATGGTAACTATGAGGGACCTCGGATGCAGTATCTGCCACATGGCATCCAGCCGGCCTTTCTCTACCTTTGTCAGTGCGCTCTGTGGTCTGCTACTTTGCATGTAAATAAAATAAACTAAAGGTTTAATTTTCCTGTCTTTAGGCATATTGAGCATTTGATGCTGGCCTCATATTTCTATAGACTAACTGGCATTTGATGGGATATGTGGTCGAAACAATGCCACCAGTCTTTACTGCCTAGGATATTTCATGGTATTCATTTTGAGCCAGGTAGATCTGGCTGCTCAGGACAATTCCAAAATTCATTCTGATGTGAATTCAAACCTAGGACCACCTGACCATTGGCAGGTGTACTAGACACTCTGCTCCTTAGATTTTGTGAAGATACAGGACATATAAACCTGCCACTAGGTGCAATGATGTCAATCATCACCTTTAAACAGACTCTCCCAGTGTGGGTTTGAGGGCTCCACATGGGGGGGGGGGGGGAAGGGAGAGAACATCTCCCCTTTCCTCCACCAAGAGCCTGTCGTAATTGGTGACAAATTGGGTGTGCTGTCTTCAAAGTTGGAGTGCATCTGTCTGAGAAGCATGGAGCCATGAGTCTGCAAACAAATAAGCCAGATCTGTAATATGAATGTGCACACAAAACACAAGCTCTGGAACAAGATCAAAGTTCAAGAGTGGACGAACAACCAAAACTTTCTGCCAGCATTTACAGCCAGTGAAATTAAATGAGTTAGCAGACAATCTAACAAAGAATGAAACAAATGAGAAACAACATACTCATTCATTGTCATTACAAGAAATTAAAACACTTATCAAGGGAAAATTTTAGGAACTGTTGAGAGAACAAACAAACAGTAAACATCTACAAGACCGTCTCAGCAGACTCAACAGAAAGCAACACACAACAAATTTTCATCCACGAACAGGATACTGCTCAACTACAACATGCATTCAATAAAGACTGTGGAGTCTCCACAGTTTTGTGACAGGACGCAAACACCTGAGCACATTCTGCAGACCTGCCCTACCTACCTACAACTTTGAAAATACACCTGGCCTCAAGAGCAAAGTGTGCAGAGCAAACTACAGGGAACCATGGGGGACCTGCTGCTGACATGCAAGTTCATAGAGGTAACCCACCTAATGGTCTGATTTGAGTATACGAAACAGAACACAAAGAAGAAGAAGAAGCCAGTGAATGCTGAGAAGAAGAAGAAAAAAAAGACACCAATGACTCAAAAATAAATACATTTTCAGAAAGAAAACAGGTATTGAGACATTGATCCATACCAGGTCTGTGGTGAGGGTTGAAGTGGCTTTCAACATGTGAGGCGAGTAGGTCCCCATCTGCCATCTCCAGCGAACACACTGGACATCTCATTAGAGGGTGAGACGAAGTAGCTGGAAAGACCACCTCCTGGTCAACTTCACTGACTCCGTACACTGTTTCATCAGTAGCATGTGTTTTAATGTGCAGCTTCAGATCTGGTTAGAAAAAAAAAAATCAGGTGAAATAATTCCTGAGTGAAAATTAATTTAATATGATTAAAATTCCTCTTCTTCTTAGTTCATGTGCTGCAAACTCCAGCTGAAAGTTCTGGTTGTATCTGTCACCTATTTCTGCATAAATGGTAGAAAATGTCAATTTTTTTGACAGGAGTGCCTGCTGCATCAGAGGAGTGAGAACACATGGGAATGCCCAATGTGTAGTGATGTTGACTGTGTTAATATAACATTGGTGGTATTTCTGAGCCAAAGTGCCTTTAAGACAAGGTAGCTGGTCTTGTCAACCTCCCTTTGTCATCCTTGATTACATGAATGGTAGGATGACAGTTTTACTATATTGGAAGTCAAGATCACTCAGCAACAACACGAAACTTAAGGTCTTCAATTCCTGTGTGATCCCAGTGCTAACTTATGGTTGTGAGAGTTGGAAATCATCAGTATCAATCGATAAGAAACTAGTCGCTTTCGAGAATAGATGCCTCCGAAAGCTATTGAATGTTCACTGGTCGGACTTTAGGTCCAATACATCTATAAGACAGGAAACAAAACAAAAATATGTGTCTGATTTTATTAGAATGCGTCGCTGGAATTACATCGGTCACGTACTCAGAATGGACATACAGAGACTTCCCCACCAAGCCTTCATATGGTCACCAGAGGGTAAAAGAAAACAGGGAAGACCAAAAGAAACTCTCCGTAGAACCGTCACAAGGGAGAGCTCAACCATAGGTCTCAGTCGCACTCAAGACCTACATCAAGTGGCAACGAACCGACAGACGTGGAAAGCTATGACCTCTGCCCTATGCGCCATCTTTGGCACAAGAGGAATAACTAACTAACTAACTAATGCTACCATTATAGACTCTCGTCACATAAGGGTGGCAATGTGGTAGTGCACCCTAACTATAGCCTAAAAGGGTTGAACGGTTTAAACTCGCTTCAACTTCTTGTACATTTACCTTTAAAAGGGTGGTTGGCATGCTGCTTTGTGGTTAATAGTTAGGCTGCAAAATCGACATCTCGCAGCCCAGTACAACTTCTTCTCATTGGCATTCCCTCGCTGTAAACTCTGACGTTATAATTATTCTTTATTCTTGGACTTTGGTCTTGACCCACAACTTGAATTTTGCGTGCACATCAATCTTACAGATCTGGCGTATTTTTATGCATACTGTTGCTTCCTTGTCTCTCAGGCAAAAATACCCCTAATTAGTTGACCCTACCATATTCTTGTTGGGGGCAGAGGGTCTATTCTCTATTCTCTGAGATAGAACTCCGGAACCCACACGGAGACAATACAATGATTTCGCAACCCTTTAGTAACTTTTTATGAAATGCTTGTTAAGAGACAGTGAGGCTGTTCCTTTTTTTGTTTTTGTTTTTTAAATAACCCCAAAAGGAGACACTAACCCGCATGGGGATAACTAGTTTTAGAGAGACCATTTATAAAAGAACACTTACCATCACTTACCATCAAGCGCTTTTTAGTGAAAAGGGCGACAGACTGAAGAGGGGGAAATCGTGGCTAGGTCGGGCAGAAGATGTTATTAGGCAAATATGCAGCCTAACCGACATCATACCTGGTGCAGAATGGATACCTGTGCCTCAGGCGTTTATTTGTACATTTTCCTGTATTGCCACACTCAACAGGCGATGTAGAGAAGAGAATTCTGTTGCTGTTAAAGCAGAGGTCAACGCTCTCATCGGTGAAAATTCAGACGAAGCAGATGCAATAATCTATACAGACGGATCCGTTATACGCCAAAGAAGAAGCGCATGGGCATTTACAGCACGCTCAGCGGGCAGAACAGTCAAAGAAGCCAACGGCGCCTTCTCCATGACAACCAGCAGCATGACGATGGAGGTGATGGCAGTGACACAAGCGCTTGCCTGGCTTGAAACACAAAAATACACCCGCGTGTGTATACTCAGTGATTCAATGAGTATGATCCGGAGGGTTCAAGCAGGTTCAGTGCGAAGACAATGGCTTGAATCATTACAGAAGTCCACTGTTCGTGGAGTCACCTTTATTTTTGTTCCAGGACACGCAGGCGTCGATGAAAGAGCTGACAGGTTGGCTGGATCCGCTATCACTACCGACGGTCAGCCTATGGATCATGCTGATATTATCAATGCCCTCAGAGAAATGGGAAGGATAGAGGACTTTGGTGGCAGTGAATCCACATCACTCGCCAGAATGGCAGACTTGGGAATTAAGATCGGCACAGCAAAAAACGAGACGCACACCAGCTACGCCAGAAGACTTGTTAATCAACATAGAACTGGTACTATTTGCCATCGGACGTTGGGGTTCATACTGAGGGGAGGATCTGAGCACCTATGGACATGTCCGGAGTGCAATGAGGATAACCCAACTAACTAACTAACTAACTAACTTACCATCCTCTGAATGACAAAGGACACCGCAAAGTGGGCATGTTACACCAGCCTGCAGCGGCTCCTGTTCCTCACCGTGGGCAGCTAGAAGATGTAAATCTAAGGCAGAAATGTCTCCAAGGTCAAGGTCACAGAATGGGCACACAAACAGGAAAGTATGATTCAATGCAGCCGCTTCCCCATTAAAAGTGTCAGAATGCAAGTTCTCTATATGACTGTTCATAAGCCATAGATTGTCTAGCTGTATGTCACAGAATGGGCAAATTAATTCAGAAACATTTGACCATACAGATGGTGATTTCTGTGATATAACTTCAACTTCAGTATTTGGATTTATGCTGGACTTTTCTTGGTTATTTATGCTTTTTGTATCAAATGATAATTGATCAAAATCAGTGAAAGCATTATCACTGTTAACAGATGTTTCCCGAACCACAGGAACAGTGTTAATGCTGAGATCATTCACTGAGTTAATGTCACCACCAATAGGCACAGCTTCAGATAGTCTAGAAGATTCAGTTTGGGAAATGAGTCTTTGAGCACTTGTACCTACATTGTCTTCTGTAGACTGGCCTGGTAAATCACCACTCAAATTATGCAGAGAGTTGTCTGAAACATTTAAAATACTAATATTATCACAGCTTCCTTCCATCACCATATCACGGTCATCCACAAACTCCTCATCAGACTCACAGATTTTATGTCTTTTACTAGGAAGCCCAAGTAATGACTCTTCTTCAGATGATCCATCAATCTTATTAAATGGACTAGAATGTAAATATTCTTTGTAATATCCTTCCTGAAAGTATTCTGAAAGTCCATTTTCTTTAGGCTCGACATAGGAAACTTGGGATACTGAATTACAAGCCTGTAGTGTATTTGTATTGTCAGGTAATATGCTGCCTGTAAAATATGTTAAAGGTTTACAATCACTGGTTATTGCACTTGTTGCGGGTTTACAATCACTAGGTATTGCACTTGTTGAGTTATCAGCAGTAGACAGTGGTTGTGAACCTCTAGTGTTTTTATCACCATCAGCATCATGAAGCTCTTCTATATCATCAAACAAGTCAAGACTGGAATTAAAGATAATCTCATCCGTAGAATCCATCATGGCTGTTTGCTGCCTTAAAGTCTTTCAGGCTTCATCTATAAATAAAAAAATTTTTTTTTACATTAAATTTCAGCAATGTAAAAGTTATCAAACTTTCAATATAAAGTAAAAAAAATAGAAGGAAAAGTGTCCCAGACCATTTTAGTAGATAGTATCATGTAAGGCAGCCTTAAAATGGCTACCAGGATGGCTGTTCTGGGCAAGTAAAGACGGCCGGCATAATGCTGACCACATTACCTATCCAGTGCCGATAGGTCTGTAAAAATATGGGACGCTCTTCCCATATACCCGATGCGCCTAAGGCGTGAAAAGGGATCTTTACTTTTTTTCTTTTTTTTTAATCATGTAAGGAATCCTTAGAATTCCTTGGACAACCAAAACGAGTTTTAAAAGAAGTGAAAGCTTGAAGACAATTTATCACAAACATTTTAAAGAGACTGTCATCATTTTTTGGGGTGTCAACACACAAACTGATATATGCCTGTTAAGATCGCAGAATTTGGAGAGGCACGATCCCCCTTGCCAGTTGACAAGGAACTTAATGATTATAATCATCATGTAAGGAGCGAATGGACTTTGCTTTGTAGTCGAAAAGATGACCCACCAAAAAAAAAATCCAGTGTTCTACTTCGACTACAAGTGGTAAAGGTAAAGTTGGGAGATGTGAACCAGCCTTACTGCACACGGTGATTTTTTTTTTTTTTTTTTTTTACGTATCCAGAAACCATGAGTTGTAAACCCTTTGGCTCGGTACTATGGATATCGCAACCCTTCAGCATTGATTCCATTATAGGTACCGTTAATCTGGGAGAAATGTGGCTTTTCTGCCTACCCCCGGGAGTGAACCCGGACCACAAGGAGTTCGTCGCTCTGCCACCAGTCCGCCTGTGTCACTATCTGCATGAAACTCTGTAGCTACAGCGACGTTCCTCCAGTTACCCCAGAGTGTTACCTCTGACACCCATTTCCTAGAGCCCCGGGAATGGAAGCGGTTTGACTATGAAAGTCACTGCAATCAACTACAGCTACAGTCTGACTGGAGAATAAACTTTCACTCAGTAAGTTGGCTCAAGGAGATCGAGATGGGCTGGGCCCAAAGATAATGGCTGGAATCTCAGAGAAATTACCGCAGATCAAAGTCAGTTTTATTGCTACCCAAAAGCATTCTTGTGTAAAAGGAAATGGAAATTCTGATGGGCTGATGGTAGGGCTACTGTGGAAAGTGGGGGAGTAATGAACCAGGCTGATTTATTGAATGCTCTTAGAAAGACATGGCAATTAAATGATACATGTAATTACTGCAAATTGGAAATCTTCACCCAGCAAGTAAAAAAAAAATAGTCAAAAGCACTGTGCAAGAGGCCACATAGGAATAGTAAACCAACTGATGTTATCAAATGGTTACATGGTGAGAATATAGTTGATTTACTGAGAATTTGATCTAATGGGCTGAACGACTGGAAGTGAGGTGAGGATAATCTGTGAATTTTAAATGACTTTTAAACATACTTTCAATAATATGTTTAAAAAATATGGCGAATGTTTAAAAAAAATTTAATGTGGCTTTTTATTTTGTGATAATAATAATAATTCACTCACAGTCCTGTTGTACCATTTATGTCACATAGACCGTGCAGTCTATTCTTCCATTCCATTTTTGTTTAAATCTTGAAAATTTGCAATTATTGTGGCTATTTGTTTTATAATAATAATAATAATTATTATTATTCACTCAAGGTCCTGTTGTGCCATTATATGTCACACAGGGCGTGATGTCTATTCTTCATTCTGTTCTACCCTGTTCCAACACTTCGATATCATGGATGAAATCCAGTCCAGTACCTTTCGCTCTTCTCATCAATGTTCTCCTCTTGGTTGTCTTCATTTCTTCAATCTCTCTATTTCTCATGTCAGTGCAAGTTTGGTGATTTTTTCTCTGTTAACCTCTTTTCAGAATGTGTGCAATACAGCTCCATCTTCTCTGTTTTTAACTGTTGATACACTCATGGTTGCCAATGAGGTTATCTTATTTCTCACCTCTCTTGAATTCATCCCATTTTATGCTCATCATTTCCCCCAGGAATGTGTTTTCTGAATGCACGTCAAGCATGACTATGGAAATAGCCGCTGCTTCTAGAGCTTTAGCATGGGCATCCGATCAAACCGCCACACAGGCAGTTATTGTATCAGACTCCATGAATATGCTTCAGAAAATAGCAACAGGTGGTAAGCGCTCTGAATAGGTATAAAGCATTCGAAAATCGCACTTAACCTCCGTAACCTGGATCTACACACCGGGTCATGCGGGTGTGAAGGGAAATGAGCGAGCGGACCAACTGGCAAGCACTGCACTAAGGATTGGGGGAAAAAGCATGGACAGAGCAGATATCGTCAACGCTGTACGGACTGGGCTAGTGGATAATGAGGAATCCCTGACACTAACACGATTGCATGACATGGAAGTAAAGCATGGTGAAGCACGTTTTTGCACAATATAACCAGCTTCTCATAGGAACAATTAGTAGAAGTACTTTGGAGTGGCTGCTGCATCGAAGGACTGAGCACGCATGGAAATGCCCAATGTGCAGTGACGTCGATTGTGGTAACATAACATAACATCTTGTAGGGAGTCGGCAATCCAATACCCAAATTCAAGGTGTCTCCTTCGTGCCAATGAACTGCATGCATGGCTGTTGGGTGAACAGTCGTTAACGAAGGCAGTCAGGTCGTTGTGGGGCGACGCTTGCTGGTGGATGTAATGTCCTAAGTCCCTTCGGCAGCTAATAGTGAGGGTACTGCTGGGGTGACCGTTTATTAACCCTGACATAATGCTTCAGGTCAAAATGGACTCTAGGCACGGCCACATTTTTTTAAGCCGCTGCAATTTTTTGGTGTGCCTCTGCCAGACGGTGGCCGTTGCATTTTTGCTCCATTTTTTAACTGGAAGTATATAGTTTCAATGCCCAGCTTCTGTGTTGAGTACATGGCATGACACTGTGAGCTGTGGATTTCATTTGGAATGTTTTTCAACTGTGACCAACTTGGTGGTGTGAATTGTAGATTCAGAAAATGGTGCTCTGCCCGTTGGCATAATATTTGTGGTGCCATTATGTGATTAAAATTGATCTCGTGTGCAACTGCTGATCTGTTGGTGACTTCTGCTAGTCACTAGTGCTACCATCCATGGTGAACTGCATTTCTAATGCAGGACTGTTTGTGTTAGCACTTCAGATGGCTACAGTATGCTTTTAAGGCGTGTGTATGCTAGCTCACATGCTGAGACAGCAGTCTGTCAATTATTCCACAAGGGACTGTGATAAACATTTTGAGTGTTTTTCGTTGGCACAGGAGCGGTGACCTGTTTGATATGAAGCTGACACTAAGATTACCAGATTACCATTTTCTGAATGCATTGAACATTTGTTCCATATCTTATGTCTCTCCAACTTTCACTGGCATATGGTACAACTGAAACAACATTAGAATTGAAAATATTAACCTGGTTCTACAACTCTAATTCTTATTATTATTTTGTTAAGCTTTTAAAAGCCGATGACACCTTTCAATATTTATTTCTGCATTTATTTTTTCTTTAGCCTACTAACTACTATTATATTTATAATAATAATTAATAGACCCCACAGTGGACCCAAGAATTTGTTATTTTATAAGAAATTTCGGCGCTCCTTTGAATCTTTCCCCAAAATGGCGGCATTCCACATTCTGGCCATAAAATATCCAAACGACTGTGTTTGCGTATATCTAAAATACGGACTTTTTGCAAAGGAACAAATCGCGGCAAAACTAGGATTACTTGACAATCAATATCAACATTTGCACACGGTACTAGTAGCAGACGATAAATACTTACCGTTGACAACCCTTTAGAGCGTTTCTGCAGATGATACTGGCAGACGATATTAGCGACCGTTGACCAATTTTGAGACATTACAGACGATGAAAGCCGATTAGCAATACTGTGTTCTTCCGATTGGAGGATTTAGCAGCGGTAGATGTCAGACTTGTCGGCATGCGCCAAACGCGATTAACCTCATTGCCGAGTGTATCCCCCGCGCCGCAACGCGCGGCGCGGATGGGGGATAAACTAAGTGCCTGGGACACACGAGTACAGTAATTGGAGGAAGTTGCAGGAAATGCAGTAGCTGTCGCTCATGAATCAAAGCCATCTAGTTTAGCCCCCATCTGCACCGCGCGTAGCGGCGTGGGGGATACGTTCGGCGGTGAGGCGCACTTGCAGAAGCAGGTTGTATTGCCGAGACCCTGTCAGAGCATTTGTTTCGTTATCCGGAGTCAGCACATATATTTTTAATAGAACTGACCCGCATTAGGATATTTTTGGATATTTTTTGGGGCAGAAATTGGCCAATTTAGCTCTCTTTCGAACGCCATCATATTAAAGCCGCCATTTTGGGGAATGATTCAAAGGAGAGCCGAAATTTCTTTTATTGAGACAAGAATTAAAGCAAACAATGAGAAAACAATTGGGATAAATAAACTGTTCATCACATCACAACAGAAATTGAAATTCGCCATCTCTGAAATCGCCTTTAGTCTGGGTCTGCACTGTGACTGTAGTATAGTAAGTAGTACAATTTATGGCTCTACTGGCAAATTTGGCCGGTAAGCTGGACTGCTTCGGCCTGCTTAGCGGGGCTTAGTGGGAGTTATGTCCCTTGGCCAAACTCAAAACAAGTCGCGGAAAAAGTCACGAATCACACGGCATATTTACCTACTTGCGTAGGGTTTCTATCATCGTCCTAGGGTTGCGTGTAGAGCTGCTTATTGCGTGTAGGGTTGGTTGTTTGCGTAAGATAGATGAGGGGTAGGGTTAGGGTTAGCGTTTAGGGGGTTAGGGTTAGGGTTTAGGGTTTAGGGTTAGGGGTTATGGTTAGGGTTTAGGGTTAGGTGTAGCGTTAGATGTGACAATTGTGACGCCGTAGTTCCCTACAATCGCGCACAGTCGCATGCATGCGTAA